AATGAATCATCAAACAAATCAACCAGAATTTTCACCTGAGGCACAAATGATCGGACTCAAATTATCCTACTTGAGACACACAATGTGAAGACACAGCTCACTGGCAAAGGCTCTAATGCTGGGAAGGATGGGAGGAATGAGAAGAGAAGGACAACCTGTAGTCAGATGGATGGGTTGCAGTGGCAATGTATGTATTGTTGGAAAGCCAGATTAGAGACAAATTGTCATGGAAAAAAACTATCTGTTTGTTAAGAGTTTACACCAACTTGATGGCACATAATCAACCACTTAGTCTGACTATTATGCCTCAGATGCTACTCTTCTTTTCCATGACTGTTCTTCTCTTATTCTTTTTGTGACTGTATGAGGAATTTCATATCTACAGTTGTAAAGAGCTATCTATTTCCTCCTTTACTTTTTGTTGCTTTTTTTAACTTGCACCCAAACTAATGTTAATACTGTTCTGGTAAACATGCTGTACATTTTTACGTGTAATAAAATAAACTTGCAAACTGGCTATTTCTTTGACCATATGGACCTTTTTCAGCTAATAACATTTATAATGAACCTCACTTTTCCAAATAAACTATTTATAGAAAGGGAAAAAAACTTATTCAAAAGGATAAGATACTGCTATCTTAGTTTCTTCTTTGTATATAGACAATTATGTTACAGTAGAACAGTCAAGCGATATATGTGAGTATTTTGCAGAATCTATTTCTTGCTTTAAATGTCATTTAATTAGTTTGTTCATCATAGTCTTTACATAATAACTATAAAATTAGTTCTGAAATGAGGTAATTAATTTTTGTTTATAGAAAAAAACAAGAAGTGTTCATAATAACCTCAGGGTTGATAATGGGAAAAGTCCAATTACATTTTTTTAGCATTCAGTAGCTAAATGGATTGAGCAGATGGTAGCACCTAGTCAAGAAGCTGTTTTGGAAAAAGACAAGCAGTATTGCATCAACCAATCACCACCAAATGCCAAGACTTTAGACAGTCTGGAAGGTTAAAAGAAACTCTAGAAAAAATAAAATAGCAATCCACTTCCACATTTTTGCAAAGAAAACAATATTAATATGTCCATGTTACCAGACACCAAGACCAACTTGGATATAAATGAATGGTCTAATAAAATTGAATTAAACTTGTGTACTTGATTATAATTTTAATCAGGATTTGCAACGTGATTTGAAATTGATTAAATGCCCTATTCAAATGTGAATGGAGAAGATTAATTCTGCATTATGGTAAGGGAAGATAAACAATTGTATACTGATAGTCTTTTAGTCATGGTTAAAAGATTAGAATCATTGTATTTTGAAATGAGTTGTTAGCAAAAGAAAACAAAAAATGCTTTCCAATATTTGGATGTGTTTTCTATCTCTAGTTTTTTTTCCTGCTATCTCAAGAGTTGGATGGAAAAGATCCTGTGGTAAAAGAATTTAGCAGCAAGTTTACTTAAAGCAGTCCAACTGTGCCTCCTTTGCATATTTATTCACAAATAGGACTTACTCCCAGGAAATTAAATATAAGATTGTAGTTAAAGTAGTTGAGGG